AGACACAACACCAGACTATTACAAGCAGAAAGAGTTGGCAAGGTAAAAACGAAACTATGCAACTGCAGAGACAGTAATAATTGTCCTCTGGATGGCAGGTGCCTGATAGAAGGTGTGGTTTACTCAGCAAAGTCAGTGATAGCAAATTTTTTTTAATAAAACACACATTCAAGAGGAGATATTACAACCATACTACTTCTTAAGCTCAAGAGCCATAGAAATGAGACAAAATTGGCAAATTGTATTTGGAGGTTAAAAGAAGTTAATGGTAGAGTCCCACACAAAGTGGAAAATCATTAAAAAAATAAAGCCGGGCAGAGTCTGAGGAAAGCTATGCCAAGAGGAAAAATTGATGATCACTACATGCCCAAACAAGGACAAACTGCTAAATGAAAGATCGGAGTTGTTATCTAAGTGCAGACACCTTGGCAAATATTTATTGTGTATGTACGAACCTGGATGAAGTACCGCCCCTCCTCTTACAATATATTATTTTACATTGTATTCTAAATTGATATATATATATATATATATATATATATATATATATATATATATATATATATATAAACATATAACTCACTATATAAATATTTAAGTTTTTGTAATAGTAATTTTTTATAAATCAGGAAAATTTCAAATGAGTGATATGATGGAGTCAATCAATCACATAAGTCACTTGAATTTTTCTCCTACCAAATATCCAGCAGTGAAAAGAAGCTTCATGATGTTTGCATATGAGTCAATGTTGACATTGACCTTTCCTGTCTCTCTATTCAACTTTAAGTGTCAATTCAGAGATTGAAACAAACCTGGACCTCAACATCATACAACTCACAATTGCAGTTGCTTCATCATCCAAGTCATTATCTGCAAGATTTATCTAAAGATACATGCATACTACCAATCATATTTCCATCTATTACTACATCACTCAAAGGTAACCATATCCTTTACAACAATATCTGCCTCCATGCTAGCTTTATCATGAACACCAACCAAGTTATCACCTTCTCCATATTTGGCTTCAAGCAACTCTTAAAATCTCAACTAGCTCAGTTGTTTTTGGTAAATCCTTTGATCTAATTCACCTCTCCTGTAGTGAATCAGTTACTCTTTTATATTTTCCAAATATGTCCCATCAAGTTTTTTCTTTCCAGAGATCCCTTAATTCTTTCCAGTGAGGAAGGACAAAAACTGTGATGTCATATGACATTTTATTTTCCTTGCACCATCACTTTCTTCTGTTTCTTGACAGTCTGCATGAATACAGGTTAGCTCAATTAATTTTTGATTTACTAGTAGCAACATAATGACCAGTAAGAACCTGGTTTTCCTCTCCACACATGATGTATCTGACCATGACTCCTCTAATTACTCGCTCTGAATTTCCTTTAATGGATTCACAGCAATGCTAGCTTATTATTTCATTATTTCTATCATTGTACAAATGAGTTGGTTGGTATAGAGTTATTCATTCCCTAGTGTATTCTGTTTGTAAATGTACTGCATGCCTGGACACTAAACCCTATGTGGTTATAATAAAGATTAGAATATAAACATTAGAACTAAGAACATCTCTCCTCCAATAGTGAAAATTGCATCATTTTCTCCTCTTTATCATATAGAAAATAACATTTTTTAAATTTTTTAATTAAAACTAAGTAAATAAGGATTGTTCCATTGTCAAATATATAAACAAATTAGGAAATGTATTTAAATTTCATAGTAAAAATTGTTTGAAGTTACATATGTAATTCATGTCAATTAATATAAATAAATGATCGTAATAAATAGATAAAATATAACTCAATGTAAAACATGCAACTAAATAAATTGCATAAATAAATAATAAAATTAATCAATAATAAATAATAACAAAACATAATTGAATAAATAATAAATAATTATCATTTTCCTTATTTACTGTAAATTTCATCAGTTTTCTTGAAGCAATAAAAAAACAAACAAAAAAAAACACTGTTTTACTTTCTGGGATGAAGAGTTATTGTTTACAAGCAGACTATTGTCCTCATCTTTGTTGTTGTTATCACAAAGTTTTGGCTGTTGTAGCCTCTGACATGTGTTTATGCCAATCCAAGTAACCTTTTGGAAATTCCAAACTGGACCTTTTATTTAATCTACAATAATAGATTGTTCTCATTCCACTACCCATGTCAAGATATAATCTAGTTTAGCTTTTATTTTTAGTACTGCTCAGTCATCACTCACCCTGTTTCCAAGTTCCACAGATAGAATTGCCACATGGGATTATAGCCTTGTGAATTAAAGCACTGGCTTGTGAATTTGGTGACATAATTGTGAGTTCAATCTCTGGACTGGGCAGTGGATTTGGGAGATACCTTTAATTTCAATTCCTAACAACTATACAATATAAAGGAATTGTCTAATGTTCCAATGTAACCAGGTTCGTTGTTTCTTCCATTTCAAAACAAAATTCATCACCATACAGATTTGTCATTTGCTTGTCCATTATTATTTTGAGATATAAAATATATATTTTATATCATATCTTTCATAAATTAACTTCTAATTTACAAAAAAAAATTCATAACAAGGGAGGCAATCAGCATATCTTAGTTATTTGTTAAAACAAGAAAAAGCATATTGAAAAATACTCTTCACTTGCAATGCAAATTGCATTTATTCAAAACATTGATAAAAAAAAAAAATACAAATAATTTATCAAGTATTTTTATTGGATTAATGCAGAGTATTTTAAATATAAATAAATCTATCAGTGTTTATGATAAACACCACTAAGTGTGTAACTGAAATTAACCCATAGGCTACTTTGCCAGCAAGCCTGTTTTTTTTTTTTTTTTTTTACTCTTACCCAAAACACTTGATGGGAATGCATGTGTGTGTGTGCCCCTGTAATATATATACACACATACATGCATGCATACACACACACATATTATACATGCAACAAATTGAAAGCAGGTCAGAGATTATTCTTAAGAACAGATAAGAAAGAAACCTGGTTATTTTTGCTATTTCAAGAGTAACATGTGCACAAATTTTTTTTTAGACAAGTAATGTCAATAACTTGGTCAAAAGCAACAGTTTGTGAAACCATGAATTGTTAGTGGAGAGAGAAAAAAATAAATGCATTTTTTCTGTATATATATATATATATATATATAAAAATCTGTAAGTGGAAAGGATAATCCAAGTAGGTCTTTTTTAATATAAAATAGTAAAAAAATGGATCCATAAAGAGAGCTCAATGTATAGTATACAGAGCAATATGATATAAATCAAGGAAAAACTTAACACAACGAAAACACAGTTATAAATTATAATTTATTCAGTATATTTTAAAAAACAAGATGCTTGACCTAAAAAATCTATTTTCTGGCGATTTATAATATAAGATATATGTGAGGGAGGGGTGTGTGTTAGTTTTCAACCTGATTTTTCATGTGTGGTGGTTGAGAGAACATAGTAACAGCTAGGAAAAATAGTAAAAGATAAACATATATATATATATATATATATATATATATATAGACTAAAATACTATTTATAACAAAATTTAAATTTATTTTTATGATGACATTTAAATATGATCTCATTCCTTTAGTTTAACAGCCGACTATTTTTTTTTTTTAATTTAGTTATTCTAATTTTTTCTTACAAGCATAAGTTACATCTATTTTGAAACCATTGAGGGTTTGAGATTTACCTATAATCTTTCCTATTCAATGGGGAGACGAACGCAGAAATATTTATAAATAGCCAATTGAGAATTTTAGAAAGATAGGTCAGAGAAAGAATGATCTGTGATTATATAGTCTCTGCTTCAAAAGATCCCAGCAGAAATTCCGATGTATACTTTTTTTTATTATTTATAATTTTTTTTTAGGGAAAATGGTTGTTTTGGTATATAAAATTTTTGGAAATATATACCTCCACAACTGGGCAGTTGTTTTGATCATACTTACAGGAGGGTTATATATATATATATATATATATATATATATATATATATATATACACACACACACATATGTATTGATGTGTGTGTATGTATTTGATTCTATAAATATGAAGATGAATTAGATATTGAATTTAAGATGTTTTTGTAGTATATTATTGTCACTCCCCCTTATGGATAAATTTAAACCATTTATAATTTTGGTCTGATGAGACAGGTGTTAAAAACTTACCCATTGAATAAATTATAATTTATAACTATTTTCGATGATGCATTAAGTTTTTCCTTGATATGTGTGTGTGTATATATATATATATATATATATATATATATACACACATATATATTTTATGACATTTTTATGTTTATACATTCTTTTTATAGATACAAATATTTAAGTAAATGCTCTATGTATAATAAACAGTATTAAACAACATTTACTGGCCTGAATTTGTATCTATAAAAAAAGAATGTATAAATAAAAATGTATATATATTATATATATATATATATATATATATATATATATATATATTAGAATGAATGCCATTGTTTTCATCAGTCCATCAAATAAACTACTTTCCTTTATAATACTTATATCAATTGATACTTATTCTGTGCCAAAGTGATAACTTTAAAAAGTACAAGAAACAAAATTTACCATTTTCCTTTTAAGCAACAAATCTTGTTACTGACAAAAATAGTTTTTGGAGGTTAGTTAAAAACAAAATCCTCTTTTCCATTTATCAATGAATTTGAAAGTTGATAGAACAAAAAGTTAGTAATAATTTTTTCTTTTAAATAATACCTGATGCACTTACCAGAAAAGACTTAATTTAAACTTAGTTACTTTTGTTTGTTTAAACTAAAATAAAATTTAGTTTTTCTCTCAAAAGAATTAAAAAAAAAAAAAAAAATATATCACTTACTCTGGTCTCTCTAAAATAGTGGCTAACTTGCACATGATTCTGAAAAGTCTACCATTCTCCACTTCCTGGAAAAAGAAGAAATAGTTTATGAAACAATCTCAAATTATCTAAGGAGAGAAGAGAGAGAAGAGAGAGAAAAGAGAGAAGAGAGAGAAGAGAGAGAAGAGAGAGAAGAGAGAGAAGAGAGAGAAGAGAGAGAAGAGAGAGAAGAGAGAGAAAGAGAGAAAAGAGAGAAGAGAGAAAAGAGAGAAAAGAGAGAAGAGGGAAAAGAGAGAAGAGGGAAAAGAGAGAAGAGGGAAAAGAGAGAAGAGGGAAAAGAGAGAAGAGGGAAAAGAGATAAGAGGGAAAAGAGATAAGAGGGAAGAGAGAGAAAAGGGAAAAGAGAGAAAGTAAATTTTTAATAAAAAAAGGGTAATTTTTAAAGTTTTTAAAAAAGGGTAATTACTAGATTTATGAAGTAATTCTTTAAAAATAAAAACTCACTTTTGCCAATTCATTCTCAACAACATAATACAAAGTTATTTTCATTGCATCCAACTGAGTATAAAATCTTGCTCCAATCATTGGCATAATGTCATTGATACTTCGCTGTCTACGTTGAGAGCCCATTAAATATCTGAAGTAAATAAAATATAAAAGAAAAGATAGGGAGGGGAAACTTGTGAATGATTAAACAGTATGTGAAGGTAGCTAAGTGGCAAAAATATACTTCTGAGTTGGAATTTCTATGTAGGAAAAACAAAAGCAACGTTTAAGATTTATTTGTGGAGGGAAATGTAATTCAATGTATTGAAGGGTAAAATATCCATCTAATCTAAATTACTTATTGATTATTAAACTACTGATAGCATTTTCCAATTTGTTTGATTGTGTGATCTCAAAATGAAAGGGTTCCATGAGGGGCCATATAATTTGATAGAGCACAAGGACAAAAATTTTAAAATGAAAGAAAAGGTGATGTAAGTTCATCATTTGCTGCTTTTAATTTTGGAAAGAAAAAAATACTGTACAAACAACAAAAAAGATTTAAGTCATTTATAGATATGCTACCATACTTGAAATTACAGTTGGTAAGTGACTCTCTAGGTTTGGAAGTGAATTTTGAACAGGATGTCTAACTTCCAGGCCTGTACCAAATTGAAATTGATTAGGTCACACAAGACAGGACATCAGAGAGATATTCTATATATCTTATATGAGCATCGTCTAATATTATATCTGCTTGATGCGTATCCAAATGTAAACAAATGACATCACATGTTATGAAATGGACAAAGTCCGACAATTTGTCATTTGTTTACATTTGGATACGCACTGAGCAGATATGGATGTACGATAGAAAATCATGGAGAAGTGTAGTTTAAAAACAGTAAAATCAACCTTGCTAACCGAAACGCTCCTCTGTGGCTCAATCGCTAAAATCATGTTGGGCTATATGACGGTTCCATATAGCATACAGGTTTGATTCCTGTCGGAGGACGCATATTTTCTATGAAAACTTCTCAGACATTCAGGCCGGTAAATGTTGTTAATACTGTTTATTATAAACAGAGCATTTACTTAAATATTTGTATCTATAAAAAGAACGTATAAACATAAAAAAATGTCTCAAAACTTTATTTAATGTATAGGTCAAGATTTTTCTTGTTCTGCTGCCCATGTTTAGTGATACCTTGTCTTATTTAGTACTGCTGACCCTGTTTCTACCAAGTCTCCCAGGGGTTGAACTCACAAATATTATGTCACCAAATTCACAAACCAACACTTTAATCCACTAGGCTATTGCACCATGGGACAATCATGATTCTAGAATCTGGAGCCTTAAACTCAAATTGCCTACTGCTGACACTACTTGTCATGCTTGACTGCATTCACTGAGTTTTTTCTATTCTTACTGCTGCCGAATCTTTGCAGTCACTTCTCATTTATAATGACTCTATAGTGTATTTAGGAAAAGCACCACTAAAGCTGTACAGGATACACATAGATAACACCTTCATACTTTGGCCTCACCACAAAGCTGTACAAATATTTCTGAACCATGTGAACTCAGAAAAAACTTCTATACAGTCCACAATGGTTTTCTTCAATGTATTATTAATGCAAACAGAGAATTGTCTCAAGACATCCATCTATAACAAGCCAGCCTTTGCTGGACAATACATTTCCAATTCACACTACCCATACTGCATAAAGAAAGAGAATGTTTGATGCTTACTACACATGGAAAAATCTTGTGATGAACCAGACATATACTGAGAGATGATCAGCATCAAATGTACCCTTCAGAATAACAACTACCCTGCAAATATAACCAGCTTTTTCAGGCAGAAATAGAAAGGCTGAAGAGTAGAACTAGAAACCTGTCATGGTCTGTCTCCCTTATGTCAAGAGCTTATTAGAAATGATTCAGAATATCTGTAGTCCATACATCAGGACAATATTCATAAACAACTTGCCGAATCAAGCCTAACACAAAAGAATATAACCATGAACTGTGTGTATTCCATCCTTTTCAGTTGTGCCAAAGAATACAAAAGTGAAAGTAATTGCCACCTAAAAATAAGACTAGAGGAACATTGAAAAGCTGTAATAGAAGCAAAACAATAAAATCAGGCATTGCTAATCATATATGGAAATATATTGTCACAAACACCAGTGGAATGAAGTAAAAATACTACAGAGAAAAACATTATCAACCAAGCCAAACTAATCACACATTTTTTAAAGAATTAAATATCATAAAACAAATGCTTAATATTTAAAACATCTGAAGGAATCAAAGCAAAAGTGTAAATTTTAAATTCATTCTTCGTTTCACCTTTGAAAGTGAAATCTGAAGATCCAGAGAAAAATAAAATTCTCTGGTGAAATAAATTATAACTAATGAGACTTAAAGTGTTCTGTTTTTCTTTAAATTAAATTATTCGCTCTGAATTAAGCTCTCAAGATTTCATCCTCCTTGGGATTATCCATGGATTAGCCAAAATTGAATTTATATATATATATATATATATATATATATATATATAGCATTGCGTCAGCTATTAATAGTAGCATGTATATTAAAATGATCAAAACTGGCTTGCCTTTGTTTCTAATAGTGAAGATGGGAGAATATATATATATATATATATATATATATACATACACACACGAATATTAGCATTATATATTAAAATATATAGAATACAAGTTATAAAAGTAGTTATCAAAATATTTTTGATATGAATTCAATGTGAAGAAATAAAAAGAATTTATCAAACCAATGTGAACATGTTGAAATGTATCTATCTTTGTTAGTAATGTTAAAATAGAGCTGACAAATACAGCATCACTGTTATAGAAGTTCCTAACAAAATTTAGGTAAAAATAAAACAAATATTGGACGACTGCATTATTTGGATTATAAGTTAGAGAAGAATGTACCAGATACAGTAACCTGATAATAACAGATCAAGAGAACATGCATTTATGTGTCTAAGCAAAAACCAAAAAGCCATTGGATAGAGCAAGTATCTTTATTTAAAATAGTTTGGTATAATTATTGTCACATTCTGTTTAAATCATTCACCTATCTACCCACTTAATGCAGCAGCAGAGGTAACTGGTAACATTCTTTGAAGGGTCCCAAATCCACAGTCAAGGTTATAGTTAAAGTTATTACATGCAGGGCTGTAGCCTAGGGACACTCAAACTTTTATAAAGCAATGATTTTAATTTTCTAGATGTAATAACTTCTAAATAGTTTCAAAAACTGAAATGGAGATCAATATGACAAAGTCAACTTTGCAGGAAGCAAAGAAAAGTTTGTGTCATTGTGTTTCAAGTTGATAATATCTTTGATTTTAGTTCAGAAGGTTAAATCTTAGAAATTTTTATAAAGCAGTGATTTTAATTTTCTAAATGTTATAACTTCTAAATAGTTTCATAAATGGAAATGATATCAACATGATACATTTATTTTTCATTTTTTATTAAAGTGGTTATAAAAATGCTAATTTAATTTGCAATAAATAGTAAAATAGTGATATTTTTAACAAAATATTTTTATTGACAAACAAAAGCTATTCTATTTTATTTAAAGAATTTGCAGTTAAGTTAAATAACTTCAATCTGTAAATGTTGCTAAAAATATATCATGATAAAAAATATTCAAGATGGATATGTGCAAGTTAGAAGGTGGCTGTGTCTGAGGGAAGGGACCATAATTTCATTAGCTTAGGGGCTCAGAAGGGGTCATAATGAGCCCTGAATGAATACATTTACATTTTTGTGGAGTGTTTTTTAATTAAATTTTAAGCTGTTTATAATTAATATATTAAATTAAGGCAAGAAAATATATATATATATATATATATATAGCAGTATAGACATGACTGACTTTTGGAAAATTTATAAGAATATTGTTGTTGGCTGTAAAACTAGCAATACAGTGTTAGGCATATTTTGTAATGTGGGTGTGTATGTATTTGAGAAAACTAAAATAGATTATTCTAATGCAGATACCCCTGAGGTGAGAGGCTTTGGGACCAGCAAAGTTAAATTGTCTTAAAGTTGCCCCTGAGCCTCACTCAGATAAAAAGTATAGTAAAAAAGGAGTAGTGATCAAAACTTTCTTTGTTAAAAAAAAATAAAAAATTTTTTAAAAATTTTCTATTTTGATTCTATAGAATATATATTTCAATATACAACACAAAGATGTACTGGGGCATAGCATTAGTGATATTAATACAGAGTTCATTGATAGTTTCTGGTCTTTAATACTATCCTACCTGAATGACACTGCCATACAATAACATGTATCCCTGTCGTAAACTTTGGTGCATTACAATAATTTGGCCAAGAATAACTGTAAATAATAATGGTGCCAATAACTGATCAACATGCCAACCAATAGAAAATGTTCCTTTCTAAATCATCTAGTCTATGACACAGTGCCAGGATACTATTTTTTGACATTCTTGCCATCAAGAAAGGCACTTCATGGACACATGTATTTGTATATTATCAGTAATATTTTACTATAGAGGTTTTCTTCTTTGCTAGTAATGACAAAAGCAGTGTTTTTATTATGCTGATAGCAGATTCATGAACAGAGACGGTAAAAAGTTTTAGTCCCATGAAAAGAGCAGAGTACAACAAAGATAATTGGAAAGAATATATTTGAAGTGAATATATGTGAAAACTTAATAAAAGCCAAGAATCATCTAAATATGCTGGTAAACTCATATGAATTAAAAACCTATTTTCAAGATGAAATAAAATTAAAGAAAATAAGAACCAATAGGTAAGGACAAAATTTCATGAACAAAATATAAAAAGAAAGTTAATTTGAAAGAATGTATATATTTCCTTGAAAGACTGGAAAGAAAAAAATTAAATTATATATAATTTAAATATTATGCAGAAAATAATATCAACCTCCATTTTCAATCTACTTGATTTGCCACCGCCACCCAA